TTTAATTATTTTTTACTTATTTTCTACTTAATTTAGTATAAGAGTTTGAATAGGAATTTGTAATCCTATTCTAATTATAATTAGTCAATAAAAGTCTATATAAAGGCTTCAATCCTTAGGTTGTATCACAATTCAGTTTATCAATAAAAGTTAAAGTTTTTGCTTTCTCAAAATTAACTTGGCTAATTTTTTTTTAGTGTTCTTCAAGTTCTTTAAAATTAGGGAGGCTTTCGAAGTCTTGTTGAGCCGATGAGTTGGAATCGACTAATCGGGTAAGTCATGTCTTTCTTTCTTCTTTTATTTTTCCTATTATTTTATTTTTGTGTACCATATAGGTGAGTGTAGATTCAAGTAGGGAGGGGGATTTAAATGGTCAAGTCTTCTGATTGCATGCGTTAGTTGAGGTTCCAGGAGTTAAAACGATCCTCTTCATACCTTCCTGCGTCAAGAGGTTACTTAGAGTCTATATCTAACTCACTCTTAAACACGCAACATGGAGCCCATTGAAAACAATAAGCCAAGGGAAGGATCATTCAAACAAAAATGGCATGAAACTAATAAAAGGATAGATTCCATCAAGTAAACTCTACAACTCATTCTCTCTAAGCTCAAAGCTCCTACAACAAATCCTGTTCCACTAGTGATTGTTGTAAACACCCAACCAACCCACAAGTGGCACTGATTATCATAGTAATGCAAGAACAAGAATATACAGTCGAAGATGTCCATATCGACCAAATACAATCACATTTGGCCAACTTAAAAGCAATTTCTGTCATGCTCCACATTTTAGAAACCACTATCAACAAAGTGGGTTACTCAAAAGTTGGAAAAGATGAAGTGTTAAAAGGTATGTAGTACTTAGAAGAAAAAATAAATTTATAATGATAAGTCTATATGTTCCGTCTAGGAGAATAAGAGATCGAAATATAGAAAAATTAGAAAATTAATGCAATGAAAGTGATTGGTTAGAGATTATTACAAATAAATGTTAAGGCTATGAATATTCTATTATATGGATTATATATTAATGGATTCAATATAATTTTTTATTATGAATCAACTAAAGAAATATGGAATAAGTTGGAAGTAACAATGAAGAAACTAACCAAGTTGAGGAGTTAAAAGTAAATACGCTTATACATAGTTATGAATTATTTAATGAGAAAATATCTATTTTAGAAATGGTTACACGTTTCACAAATATCACTAGCACCTTGAAGCTATTTGGCAAGATTTATACTAATAATGAACTTGTAAGCCAAAAACTTCTAAATGTCTACCATGAGTGAGTTACTTCGCAAGATTTATCCTAATGATGGACTTTAACAATCATCATCACTTTCATGACTCATGAGTTAAC